AACATGAATACATGTTACAAACTCAAACTTATCTTTTAAAGAAGCTACAAATACAAAGAAAAACAAGTATATATTTAAAGGTTTTTTTTAATGTCAACTATAAACAGAAATGATGAGTTTGGTTATCTTTTACCATATAGCCAGTAGATTTGCATAAGGATTTACAGTTTCTAATGGTGGACAGAGAGAGAATAGGGAGAGGGGTAGATTGTGATGTGAGAATATAGAAGTATTAGATTATAGGACGAGTGAAAGGGAAATCATTGTTATTGAATAATTTTGTGTAGTAGTTTTTTTCTTTTTTCTCTTTTTTTTTCTGTGTATATGTGTGTGCTGTGGATTGAACCTAGAACCTCGTGTATGCAAAGTATACTATCTTAAAGTATCCTCAGGTCTTGGTATTATTTCCTTACTTCAGAGGAGCTTTTATTCAGTTTATCTCTTTGTGAAATACATTTCTATATCTTTTAGCCCCCAACAATCCAATTACATATGTATTTTTCTAATATAAATTGCTTTTCAAATTTATTAGAAAAAGATAGTTGGAGAAATATGCATTTGTAATTTGGTTTATAGTTGCCTTAGCTAGCATTCTAGGTTTAAATAATTATAAGACTGAATAAACTTCATTTTGTATCTTGTAAGGTTGATCTACCAACAAATTTGTTAGTTTTTGTCCATATGGCAGTGTCTTTATTTTTTAGTCACATTTGAAAGACACTTTTGTGTATGTGAGATTCTTGGTTGACATTTTTTTTTTAAATTCAGTACTTTGAATATGTCATTCCATTGTTTTCAGGCCTTTATTGTTTCTGATTAGAAGTCAGCTGTTGCCAGGCATGGTGGAGCATGTCTGTAATCCCATTGGCTTAGGAGGCTGATGCAGGAAGATCGTGAGTTCAAACCCAGCCTCAGCAAAAGAGAGGAGCTAAGCACCTCAGTGAGACCTTGTCTCTAAATAATATAAAATAGGGCTGGGGATATGGTTCAGTGGTTGAGTGCCCCTGAGTTCAATCCCCAGTAACACCCACCGCCAGCAAAAAAAAATTAAAAAAAAAAGTCAGCTGTTTATCTCATTAGGGTTCCCTTGTGTGCATAGTCAGTTTTCTCTGCTGATTTCAGGAGTTTTCTCTTACAACATTTTACCATTATGTATTTGAGTATGGATTTTTATGTCTTTTTTTTTTCTACTTGGAGTTTGCTTAGTTTCTTGAATGTGTGGATTAATGTTTTTCATGAAATTTTTAAGTTGTCAGACATTATTATTATTTTTTAAATTTTTTGGTTAACATGTATTGATTGTATATTAATGAAGTTCCATGTGATATTCCAGATTATGCATATAGCACAGTGCATACAGCATAGTTCAAATACAGCCTTTTCCCACATCCAAACTTCTAGTAATCATTGTTTTCTACTCAGCTCAACTTTTTTTTAACCTTTACACATGAGAGAGATACTGACACTTCTCTTTATGTGCCTGACTTATTTCACTTAACATAATAATCTCTACTTCCATTCATTTTGCTGTAAATTACAGGATTTTATTCTTCTTTATGGATGAATAATACTTAATTATGTGTATATACCAAGTTTCCTTTATCTGTTCATTCATTGATGGCTATGAGGGTGATTCCATATCTTAGCTATTGTAACTGGAGTTGCAATAAATATGGGCTTGCAGATATTGCTTAGGTATGTTGATTTCATGTCCTTTCTGTATATATGGAGATGTGAAATAGTTGGATCATATAGTAGATCTATTTTTAGTTTTTTTGAGCCTCCATACTGTTCTCCATAATGGTCATACTCACTTACATTCCCACTAACAGTGGTTGAGAATTTCTTTTTCTGCACATCCTTGTCAGCATTTGTTATGCTTTGTTTTGAAAACAACAACAATAACAACAACAAAACTATTCAACTTTCTTCTCCCTCACCTCTGTATTGGTATTCCCATCAGAACAGTGTATTTAATGGTGTTCTACATTTTTTAGAGGTTCTGTTCATTTTCCTCTCTGTTCTTAATATTATACAATCAATTGATCTATCTTCAAATTTACTGATTCTTCTGCCTGCTGATGGGAGTGTCAATCACTCCTCTAATAAAATTTTCAATTTCAATTATTATATTTTGCAGTTCAAAAATTTCCATTTTTTCTTAATTTTGACGTAATATGATACTTTATAAGACATTGTCATATTTTTATTCTTTAAACACTGTTTTATTTACCTGTAAGAGCTTATTTCTCATAAGTACTTTGAAGTTTTCAAATGCAATTTGTCTTGCCTACTTTTCCTTTAGTATTATGGGTCACACTTTTCTGTTTCTTTGTATATTGTAATTTTTTCCTGAAAACCAGGTATTTTAGATATTTTATTGTAGTCACACTGGAACCTAATTCCTTTGCCTTTTCCAGGACCACTGCAATTTTATTTATTAAGTCATTTGGCTGGACTCTTGTAGTGAAATTTGTTTCCTCCTCCATGTGCATATTCCAATGTTGTTCCTCAGAGTGTATGGAGACACACTTTCACCCTCGGATGACAGTAATTTCAGCAAGGCTCTATTTTTTTTCTCTAAGCTCTCTAAAGCTCTGCTTTTGTTGTTATCACATCCAGCTCTTAGCCTCCACCAATTGCTGACTGATTGTTCTATTGTTTTTAGCAAGGCTGTGGGACTTAAAAAGCTTAATAGAATTCAATTAGAGAACTTTATAGGGTTGTGTTGGAGGTCTGTTCTGACCATAGGAGGGCTTTTATTAGCTGTCCCTTCCCCTGGTTCTCTCTGTTAAACTTCCGTCTGGTTTGCAGTTTAGTTCACTGTCTGTGAACCTAATACTAGTCTTAATTGCATATAAGCAAAATCTCCATTGGTTTTGAGTCTGCAATTAGTCTTTGAGTTTTTCCATCCTCTATTTTAAATGAAGTCAATTCCTTTAGGAGAGTTCCTTATCTTCTTAGTGTGCTTCTCTTCCTAAGCAAAACCTGTATGCTGAAACTCTGGGGTTGTAGGTAGGTGAACTTAGTGGCCTGGTTCCCATTGGATAGTATCACTCACTGCTTCCTGTGCAGGCAGTTACATGGGGATTGTGGCCTGTGGTATTCTAAGCTTGTCTTGTCTGGCTTTGAACCTCTGCCTTTTCAGTGAGGTAGGATTAAACATTATTGTTCTTGGCCTGCTGTGCCTAGTGGGTAGCTAAACCTATGAATCCAGCCTGGGTAGGGTAAGAGTATCCAGATTTTTCATGCTTTTTCCTGCAGTAGAGCTTCTGTAACCCAGAGCTGGAGGGCATGAAAAATGCTGGTAGCCTGATACACTCTGTAAGATATCATTGGCTTGGACTAGAAGCTAAGGAGTGAAGGAGCTTTTTGTTTTTCCTTTTTGGGGTAGAAATTCTGTCATTCTGAACTGTGTGTGGCCTAGGGCGAGGAGGAGGGCAAGTAATGGAATATGTAATGGATTTGACTCTTTTACTTAAAATTTTCTGAGATCTTACATTTATATATATACATGTAACTAGTGATATACACACACACGTAACTAGTGTTAGCTTTAGCTTCTATGAATATATAATATATATGTATAATATATATTAAAACTAACTGCTAACTATAGTTCTTTCCCCTGGCAAGGTGTTTGAGAAAAGCCTCCTATTGTCATTCTGAGAGTCACCCTTACATTTTTTTTAAAAAAAATTTTAAAATTGTTGATAGACCTTTATTTTATTTATTTCTTTATATGTGGTGCTGAGAATTTAACCCAGTGCCTCACACATGCTAGGCACCCTTACATTTTAAAGCATTAAAATAGCATTATAATCCACAATTTTAGAGATAATATTTATATAGTACTAACTATATATACTATACATATTTGTTTGTGCCAGGTGTTTATTCATGGTAGTTATAAAATATTAATTCTTATTATCATTTGCCTATATTATATATTCATTCAGAGAAATTATAATTGTGAGCATATCTTCATAGTACTTTCAATTACATTTTAATTAAAAAACTTGAATATTTACCATTTCTCAAAAATGCATAGTAATTTTAATTTTTAGGTACACACAAAAGTGTAGATGTGTCCCAAAATAATCTTGAGCAAAAGAACCTACACGCAAATGAGTATAATATATGTGTTCCATTTGTGTAACATACAAAAACAGCAAAGCAAATCTATGCTCTTAGAATTGGAATAGTAGTAATGTTTGGTTTTGTTTTTTTATCTATTGCTGATTACTTAGTTGTGTTCATCTTGTGAAAGTTCACTGAATCTTAGACTTATGATATCTGCACTTTTGTGCATGTTATATTTAAATAAAAAGTTTATTTAGGGGTCCATATGAGTTCTATAATTTCAACCAAATAGAATTTTTAGTAAGTTTACTATGGTTACCTTTTTACTTATTTTAGTATTTAAAGCAATGATGTTTTGCATGTAAGTGAAATAAATGAAACCCAGAGAATCAAGGGTCATACATTTTCTCTCATGTGGAAGCTAGAAAGAATAAATAAATAATAAAAGGGATATCATGAAATTAGAAAGGAGATCAGTAGTATAGAGAATGGGGGTCAGGGAGGGGGAGGAGGGAAGGGAAAGTGGGGGTACTGGGGAATGAAATTGACCAAATTATGTTATGTGCATGTATGTATCACAATGTGCATATCACAATGAATCCCACTATTATGTATAGTTATAATGCACCAATAAAAATTTTTAAAAATTATGATGTTTTGGGCCTCTAGTTAAAGAAGACTTGTTTCCTACCTTTATAAATGAAAAGATAATTCAAAAACGAATTGAGTTTTAACAATTCTGTTTGATACTTGTTTGAAAAGCATTTTATGATACTATAAATGGTTAAGAAAGCCTTGTTTTTTCCACAATTCCAGGAAAAATTCTATATGCAAATTCAACCCTTTATATAATTTATATATATAATCAGGGAGGTCTCTTTATCTTTTGTAATACATTTTTAAATTTTATTCTGTAGGACTATTTTGAAAGAAAGTGGGTTTGCCAGATATCTTCATTCAGCTGTTCTTATCAATGGAGCTATGCTTATTTTTGGAGGAAATACCCATAATGACACTTCCTTGAGTAACGGTGCAAAATGTTTTTCTGCCGATTTCCTGGCATATGACATAGGTATGTATCTGTTAGGATTGTATAAAGTAGGAAATATCAGAAAATTTCCCCATAAATATTCTCAAATACATTTGACAGCATGTTTATATGTCATTTTAGAGGTAAATTCAGTGATAGATTATGAATGGCATTCTCTCTAATTGCAGCATAATAGTATTGGTGTAGAGCCAAGGGAACAGAGGTAGTGGAGTGAGTGAGTGGTGGATACAGAAAATAGTGAAATCCAGCTTTGAATGTCCTTTTTGAAGGCTTTTATATATATAATGTTTCCCTCCCTATGTGAATACTGTATCAGTCTATTGTGTTTATTATTATATTGATAATGGATAAGATATGGAATGCTGTCAAATTATGTAAATTTCAAATAGTAGGAATGCATACATTTTAGATTTAGTAGGAATGAGAAAAACTGAATTTATATTAAATATTCCAGATACTAAATATAGGAATCTGATAGAACTAGATAAAGGAGTATGGAGAAGATACAGCTAAAGAAGTAAGATTATAAGACAAAATGAAAATGTATAACAAACCTCGGAATAGAAGAACTAAATAAGGTTTTCCCCCAGAGATTCAGAAATAAAGTACATTTATATTTTCCATTTAATTTAAATTTTGCTACTGTCCTGTTGATTTCTGAATATTTAAATGTATTCATTTATTGAAATACTAAATTTAGCTATCCAGGAGCTCATTGTAATGACATCATTTCTTCTCTGTGTATTATATTATTGAGAAAATGTAGCTGATATTTAAAATATATTTAGCATTACTTAAGAGAACCTTCCAGGATGGCATAATGTAGTATACCAAATTGAGAATATCAGGAAACATTTTGATAAATAAAAATAAAGGAGACCAAAAAAATAGCACATTGAATAAGTGCTAGAAATATACATTTGCTCTTAAGCATAGTCTGCTTTGATAAATTATTCCAAGTGGCAGCATATGAAGAAATTTGTGACTATTAATTAGGCACATTGATATTTGTTGTGTTGTAAATTTGTTTTGTAGGAAATTACCAGTAATAAAGTTAAGTATATAAAACTGTGAGCATTGGACTGTGATTAATCATTTGATCCTAAATAATTAAATCTTTTCCTTTGTTTTTTTTTGGAGTGGTACTGGGAATTGACCCCAGGACCTTATGCATGTTAGTCAAGTGTGCCACCACTGAGTTAAGTTCCCAGCTCTTTTTATATTATTTTGAGGTAGGAAGGATCTCACTAAACTGTCAGTGCTTGCCTCAAACTTGTTATCCTCCTATATCAGCTTCTGGGATAACTGGGATTATAGGTGCATACCAGCATGCTTGGATAACCTTTTGAAATAATAATTTGACATGGTGACTAATGATGAACATGAGACTGTCTCAGCATTTAGAAGCCTCATAAATTAGTATCTGGCATCCAGCAAAGCAGTTCAGATGAAACACTGAATCCAGGCTGGCAGTGACCTTGTTATGGTTTATTCTTGACATACTGAGGCTATCAGTATACTATTCTGGCAATGGTAATGAGATAGATTATTTTTCTGGAGGAAGATTAAAACTTTATTTATTTGTTCGTTCATTTTTTTTCTAGGGGAAAATATTGGGAAAAGTTTAGGATGTTGTTATTGTTAAAAATCCACCCAGTGGGATTTCAAACTTGTAAAAGATTTTTCAAGGAGCTTCCACACAGTGTCTCTACTTAATCTTATTTGATGATTCGTATATATTTCCCAGTAAACTTCCCCCATATAGCTTGTGTTTATCTTCCTAGGATGGTAGCACCCAGTGTTGGGAATATATTCTTGAGAAAATTATTTTTCATACATTAGAAAATGTCTTTCACAATAATTATTTTCCTTATGGAGTAGGTTTTGTGGAAATGGATAAGAAGCATCACAAAGTGAACCAAATAGAAAATGGATCTGTTTTGAAAAAATATGTTGCTTATTTTTCTCTTCAGTATGGTATGCTAGGACTTTTTAGTATATTTAACTGTAATGCACCTGATGACTTAGTGGCTTGCATTGTTATATGATTTTTAAATGTACAGGAATATTTGGGCCAATTCTAATTTTTCTGCTCTAAAATGTACAATTTCAACTTTAGGACTCTAATCAGTTATATACTATTAGTATCATTAATCTTTAAGATATGACCTTGTCTTCACTGTTCTCATTTTATTATGCATGATAGATGTAGAGGGTATATGTTAGTGATTTTCAGACATGGCTATAGCTAGGCATTTCTGTGAAAGTTGTTGGGAAATAAACACCTGAACTATATAATCAGATTCTTTGATATTAGGTCCTGGACATCTGTTTTCAAAAAGTAACTGAAATACAGCTAATAATAGAACCAGAGTTAGTGAATGAGTCTGGATCAACTGTAACATATAACACAATACATACTTAATGTTCTTGTTTGTAAATCTAGCATGAAGTCAAATTTTATAATATGAAAAAGATATTCATTTTTGTTGTTATTGTTGGTATTATTATTGCTTTCAGAAAGCCACCATGATACTCTTTTTAAGATTAAAGAGATCTTTTTACTAAAGATAGTCTTCTACTCAGAATTCTGATAGAATTCTAAGCAAGATGAAAAATAGCTTATTAATATATTTTTCTTTAGGAAGATAATACAAGATAACAGAAACATGAAAATATAATTTCCTGAGTTAGATTATTTCAGATTCAGGCAAGGATAAGATTTGTATGAGAAATATATCTTGCAGAAAGAAGACTAGCTGACACTTCAAACCAGATTGAATTAATAATGGCGTTTAAAAATAAATTTCCTGAACATGAAGGTTTTACTTATGATATTAATTTCTTGGTAGATGATTATTTAAAAAAAAGTTAATAAAAGCTGAAAAGTAATTCTGTATGTGAAGGAATATAATTTTAATTGGTAATTCAGAATAATGTATATGCTTAGCCATTTTATAATATAGTGCAGCCATAGTTCCATTACCCTTAAAAAATCAATTCATTTATGAAGCATAGCATACATGATTTTGTATGAACCCTGTGGAGTGACATGTATGTAGGTGTATAGAATGGATACAGTTTTGTAAGGCATATAATTTCATAGCAAAATCATATTCAAATTAAATTATCAATTTTTAGAATAATCCAACAAAATGATCAAATTTCCAGCTTGCTTACTCTTTATGTTTATAATTATTTTTGTTTTTTGAAGGTTATTTTATTAGTTTCTCTTTCTGTTGATATTTATCTATGCATTTATTAGTTTTCAGGACTCTTCCTTGATTGAAATTGGTTGTCACTTGCCTGACCACCTAAAATAATTTTGTATTATTTTAGGAAAACCCTTAAAATCATTCACACATTTTTTCTCCCCCTGAAATAGCCAACCACTGACTATTTTAAGCTGTATCCTTTGTTCAAAGTGTTATTTTTTTTCCCTCTGGGTAGTAGCTTTTTTTTTTTTAAACCAAGCCAATAATTTTTTTAAAAAGAGTGATTTTTCATTTTGACACAGGGGAGAACTATCTGTGTAAGGTTTTATATAGTGCTTGGTACTTTTTACATGCTTTATAATGTAATTCTTAACTATCTAGCATGTGTATTATTAAATTCAATTCATAGGGAAGACAGTGTTATTTACCATGGTTAAATCCAAAGTCATATAGGTTGTAAGGTGGCATATTCAGAATATGAAGTGAAGTCTAAATTCAAAGTGTTCAAAATATATGTATGAAGATTTGAATTTGGTGTCAACATACCTTATATACAAACAGAGATATTAAAAATTGTGGTATGTATGTGTATTAAGAATGTAATGCAAAAAAAGTACATGTATAATGGCATAAGTTGATGCGAACATACTTTATATTCAGAGTTACGAAAACTTGTGCTATAAATAGGTAATAATGAGTGTAATGCATTCCACTATTGTCATGTATGTAAAAAATAAAAAAAATAAATTAACTCAAAGTGTTTTGAGCCTACCACTATATTATGATATTAGTTTTTCCTGATCTAACAGGAAAATTTTGAATGATCTTTTAATTGGGATGATGACATATAATATTTATTAATAGAATGAAAAACTCAAAAATATTTTTTATCACTAGATTTAACATCCATTTGGATTTTATTATTCCTGCTCCCTCCCACAAAAAGAAATAATGATCAAGGTAGAAAATCAAGGAGAAAGAAATTAATAGTAAACAATGAATCTCTTTTTTAAAAAAATATTTATTTATTTTTGTTGTAGTTGGACACAATATCTTTATTTATTTTTATGTGGTGATGAGGTTCGTCGCACCCAGGGTGCGCACTTGCTAGGTGAGTGCTCTACTGCTGAGCCACAACCCCAGCCTCTAAACAATGAATTTCTTTTTTTTTTTTTTAAATTTGTTTATTTATTTTTTTTAGTTCTCGGCGGACAGATCATCTTTGTTGGTATGTGGTGCTGAGGATCGAACCAGGGCCGGACGCATGCCAGGCGAGCGCGCTACCGCTTGAGCCACATCCCCAGCCCAATGAATTTCTATCTTTAACAAATCTCTAAGCATTTTGAGAGATTGGTTGGGAAACAAAAAAATTATAAAGATTTTTGAAAGAAAACATACACTGAAAGGGAATTTTTTAAAGGTTTTAATGAAACCCCTGGGCTGGGGAAAGGCCGGAGAATATAGTAGTATATTTAAACTCAAATATTTCAAATATAATATTAATAAATAGAGTCCAACATGTTGCAAAAGTATAATAAACTATGACCAAGTAGAATTTACTCTAGGGATTCAGTTATTATTTATTTTCAGGAAACTTACAATTATAATTTTTATATCAAGGCTATTGAAGCCAACAGGAAATATCATTGTCTTTTAAAACACTGTAAACTGATTTCAGTTAGGATTGGGAATCAAATAGTATTGCCAACCTTTCCTGCCAGAGAGTAGGAAAATCCTTGAATGTTTATTGAATGAAAGCCAGGGAAAAAAATCCTGAGGGGATGCTATAAGTATTTATGATATATC